TACCTGCGATAAATTCCGTCATTAACTTCATGAACAGGTCATTTTGTTTCGTTTTCCATATGCAGTTGGCTTTGGGCTATGTGTGACGCCGTTTTTTCTGCGCAAGTTACAATATTCATTGACGCAACCTCGCTGTGGTTTTTAGACATTGATTTTACTTCTGTTTAGGCTGGCCCTAACCCAAAGATGTAGGTGGAATAGGAAGTGGCTCATCGTGTAGACAAAACAATGTGAAAACATTCCTTGTACGAGTTTCCAGTCACTACAGAAGGTAAAGAGAATCCCAACTATTTTTTTGAAGTAGTCAGTCATTAACCTGCACACATGTGGATGGGATCCATTCTCACATCGCTCGTTGAGTAATACTGATCTATAAGGGCTTTCGAGAGCTTTCGAATAGTCAGTGAACACTTGGCCTGTCAGATGTTCACACAGCATTGACTATCCATAGATATGCGCATGAAGGTCTGTTTATCGCTCACCCACTCATTGACATGTTGCTTTCAACCACTCGATGGATGTGTTGTACATGATTCTTGTCATAATACACGGTGCTTGCTATCGGATCGACGTGTTCTGTTGCCTTCGCGTCGTTACGGCTACGAGATATTACTGCGTTCGCAAAACTTGCGTTACTTCTGCACGGGTAGACAGGCACTCTGCGGATCTATATTTTACGTCCATTGCCATTCTCTCACTCATGCTAGAGAGAATTGTCAAGGAACATTTGGTTTCGTTCCTAATATCGCAGAAACTTCTCTCATCTTCACAACATGGCTTTCTGAAGTCTTGCTAGTGTTTTACCTGTCAAGTTGACTTCCTTAACCATCTAATTGAAGCAATTGACCCAAGTCTTCAGTGCATTGTCATCTTCCTCGACATGCAAAATGCGTTTGACAAAGTCCCACACCAAAAGCTGCCATATAAATTAAGTAAGTTGGGTGTTACAAATCCGCTTAACTCTTGGATCCAATCGTACTTAGTAGAACGGTCGCAAGTTGTGGATATCAATGGTTACGTCTCTTCACTTCGTCCGGTTACGAGTGGAGTGGTGCAGGGCAGTGTCTTAGGCCCGTTGCTCTTCCTACTGTATATAAATGACCTCGTTTCTGTTATATAATTTGGGAAGCCTTATTTGTTTGCTGATGACCTAAAGATGGTTTACACGTTCCTAGGTTCCAAGCGTACCGCTGAACTTAACAATATTCAAAGCGACTTGAAAGCCATTGTGAGATGGGCTGATATGTGGCAGATGACCTTCGCAACATCGAAGTGTTGTATTCTAGCGTATGGGTGTCAGATAGCAGCAGAAGTGTTCAGGCTTCATCACGAAGTCATTCGCATCAGCCAATCTGTTCGTGACTTAGGTTTAAGATATTCTAGTTCGTTAAACTTTAGTGAACATACATTTGGTGTAAAAGTCGAGGCAGTCGGTTGGGCTCATATGCCACCTGGTAACCTTGAAATAAACCAGACTAATTGCTCTCAAAATCGGCATATCAGGCTTTTGCTTGTAAATTACTGTGTTACGTTCAGTAATTTGCGTAAGGGTGACTTGAGAGCCATTGAAAACGTTCAACGCGCCTTTACGAAGCGCATATTTAGCTGTTCAACCGCTCTTTCATACCGAGATAGGTGCAAGCAGTTGAATCTTGAACCTCTGTGGTTACGAAGAATGCAATTAAATCTGTGCTTCCTCCACAAACTCGCGTGGCGGAAAGCATATATTGGAACCTATCAATTGCAGTTTCAGGAAAACACCATTTATGAACTGCGAGATAATGAGTGCATATTCTATTTACCTAAATTCAAGAGCAGTCTAAGGAGAAATTTCTATCTTTTTAGGTATGGCTGCATTTGGAATAAGCTGCCAAAAGCGATTAAATGTATTGAACATTTTGCATGTTTAAGAAAATGATAAACGTTTATCTGTCAAGGGACAGAGTGTAATGGATCTTAAAAATTCTACTTGATGATGAAAAGCTGTATGAAGAAGGGCCGGATCATGTATGATACCGGAGAACATCGACTCGAAATATATCTAACAAATGTACCAGAGAAAATATGATCATTTAGGATGAGCTGTTACAACCGCTTCTTATGCTATTCCCTAATACTACCTATGCGGTTTTACTCCTTTCAAACCTAATTCTTCTGTTTAAAACCGAGAGCAAAATTATTTACTGGTGTGGGGTCGGGAACTATTTTCGTAGTTTTCCCGACAAATTGATTAATTCGCAAAATTGTTCTGCGATTTTCTTCGCTACATTTGTTCTGCAGTGCTAACCATTGCCCCTTCTTTTCTGGAGTTAACAGTCCAGAAACATATACTGGAATTCAGTGATGACAATAACGGATTCCCTATATGACTTTTGCCTATGGACAACTCATACAGTTAGTTGTCTCCGGCTGTCACGCCACACAATTTGATCGTATGATCGACTCAATCCATTTTTTACGCAGATGTAACAAACATATTTGCCTATATTTTACATTAACGATATAGTACCTCTTTCGCATAATTTTTCTTTTCTGCATCCTTATTTCATTGTTGGCCACGACTGGGCTGATCTCCTGTGGTGACGGATCATAGTTTCCAGGGTATAAAAGACTACCTATACAAGGCACATTGCCACAAATTGAATGGCGTATGAAAAAGTGCCATAATTGAATGATCCGCATAACGTACTGGGCTGAGGCTTTATCGCTCATAATACATGTATAAAAACAGCCCTAAAAAGAACAAACACAACATAATAAACAGGTAGGTGATGGCTCATATGCTACTATGCCACACCGGCACGCGGCCAGGTATAGCATGGAAGTGCGGGCGAAACCTTTCGAGGAAATACCTTGCATCGAAGCAGGTCCCATGGGGACGGTTCCACGAGTGGCCGTATTACTTTAACTGGACATCTGTTTAAATCTGCTTACGTTATTGTTCCTGCTTTTTAATTTCTTTAATACCTTAATCCTGCCAATTACTTTAATACCTGTTTTGGATCCATTGTAAAAAGCGTGAACAAATTGATTATTTTTTTTGCGATCCTGATGTACACATTGATCAGACCACATGGTTGGACTGCACCTCAAATCATCGAGGAATATACCACTTATTAATTTATTTATATTATGGGTGTACAAATTCCCACAGTGCATCTGGTGTAGTACGCTTGGGTTTGTTAGCGAATTGGGGGACGGCATTGGTATCAGTGTCTGAAGGTTATCGAGGCAGTCAGGTCTAGTTCCTGGGATTGCATATTATGCATTTGTTCGTCTCTAAATGTCAAGGACAACTTTAATGGTGAAACGATTGTTGAAACATTTTTAGGGCACCGTGGGGGAATCGGCACTCTCTCATGCCCACTGGGTGCTTTACCATCGTACTTATTAGACTTCGGCTTGTTGAGTTTCATGAATAAGTCACAGAAATTTAGGCAAGCGATAGTACTTTTTCAGGTAGTGATAACGGTTATCGAACCCGGGACCATTAGGATGCTAGCCAAAATTTCTATCCCTTTGGCCCCCAGGTCATGGCGGGGAACGTTGTGTGCATGGATTGCGGCACGCAATCTCAATATGGACCACGTTTAGAATTGATGAACTTTGATCAGATCGATCACTAGAACCGTAAATGATGGAGAGCATGTACATGTGATCGATTTGACCAAGATTCACTTCAGTGAGAAACTCGGTCCACATTGAGACTGCGCGTCGCAATCCATTTACACAACGAGCACTTCAAGATGACCCTTCAATCAGTGGTAATAAATGAATGATAATTGTCAGCTGTACGCCATAACGGCGCTTCGCTGTCGCGCAGCCACCACCAGTCGCGCATGGGCTGAGTATACCGCAAGGACGCCCAACCCTACGCGGATTCGAATCGTGGACCTTGTGATTGCAAGCTAGGCGTGCAGACCACTCGGCCACCGGCCCACCCAATCAGCATTACCTTTGTTTATCATGAAAGTAGGAAATCGTCTGTACATTTAACACACCTTGCTTTGAAGTAAAATCTCCGAACTCGAATCCAGTGTCATTACGTTCCTGACCGAGCTTGCTTGTCTCAGTGTAAACCTGTAATTATTGCTCCAAGCAAAACAGAAAACCCGGGTTATAATCGATTTTTCTTATTGCATATGTAGCTTTGTAGATCTGTTGTCGGTGTTTTTTAAAGTATGCATACATACCACAATAGATTCGGAACATCCATAGCTGACGCGTGCCTACTCACCAATTTTATCTCCGCTTTTTGTAAATCTGCTCTCCCCACTCTTCACGCCATCCCCAGCCTCCTCAATTGCTCCCCATCCCCTCAGACTCGTTTTGGACTCCTCGTTCATTCCTCGTCGGCTCTTCTGCTTGTGGTTGTTTCGATTGCCTTCATGTGGGTCGTACCACGGCCAATTTTTGCCCTCCATCTTTTTACACCTCGTCAGTGCACCAAGCCGAGTATGAACCACTCATGCGGTGCGATGGTCTGCCAAGTACCACACGCAGTTATCGGCTCCAATTACCATCTGCATACACACGCACCAATCTGGCACCCGCTTTCACACCTTCAGAAAATTTGTTGCACCGCTCTGCTAGCGTCCAACCCGAAAGTTACATAAGCGATTACGCTTCTCATTCCAATTGGTGTAACGACTATATTGATCGCCCAGCTTCTATTTTACCGATCTCCTCATTGGCGTTATCTGTTGTTGGAGCTGCCCCAAGTGGCACCGGTTCTACCGTGCTCACAACGTGTGCGCCGTCGGCGACTGACCCGTTTTATCCCCCCGAGTCTTTATCCATGTTCGATCGTAGTTGTGTGCGGAATCAATGCTTACCAAACAATCCATTTCCTTGGAGCTTCGTGAGCCCCTCGGTTCATTCCGTTTCATAGTTCCACGTTTCTTTTCGTTGCAAGTTCGTTGCGCTCAGCTTTTTGCTGACCACCTGTCATTTCGTCATGATGAAATTCGTTCCCCTTGCTACTCTCACCTATGTTACAGGGTGACGATATGTCCGGCTCAAAACGCATGCGTCTCGGCCCCGGTGAACCTCCTCCCAAGGTGGTAGCCCCATCCGGTTCCGATTTGGGCACTGTGTCCGGAGTACCAAAGCATCATTCGGAAGGTCATTCGCAACATATGCAACAAAATATGGCCAGTTACCCGCATCAGGTAGTTCGCTCATCCAGCCATATTAATCGTATAAGTTCACATCAAATATGTGAAATTTTTGACGCCCTGCTCACTGATCTGTTCGTCATCTGCTAATCGGTTCCCTCAGGTGTTTTTGATTGTAAGTCACCAGTTTGCTGACACTATGTATGAGGGTGTGGGGCTTATGTTCCTAGTCACGTCTGCTCATCGTTTCGTTCTGTATTGTCATAAAAAACACTGTTTTTTTTGCATTTCTATGCTACCGCATGTTCTGCATATTCTACTGTGGCGCAGTGTGGTGAATTTGTTTTACTCACACACGTTTCTACCCACAACGGTGTCGGTGTCACTACACACACACATACACACTGCTATTCCACAGCAGTCGTTATTCAGCGAGCCCGCCAGATATAGTGGGCCGCTATCTGCGTTTGGAGCCCAGCTATCCACCATCGTTTGATCGCGTCTCGTTTGCACATCGGCTAGAGTGGCTCTGTCCAGTTACTGTAAATATATTGTGGTGATGACCTCACGCGTTTGACCTTTATCCCCATGTGATATGGGCGGTGTCGTTGCTCACCGTGCGAAGGCTGACAAGGTGCCTACAGGTCTGATGCCACTATGGTTACTGGTCCATGGGCTGGGTAAGATAAAATGTGCACCGTCTCCCGGACAGTTCTGAACAAACCTATTTTTTCCATCGTACCCGGTCCGCCACAGCCACCACCCTGTGTATGCTTCTCCAAATCTTTCATCAATGATTCCCCTGTGTGCAATGACCCTAAGCTGAATACTATATATATATATATATATATATATATATATATATATATATATATATATATATATATATATATATATATATATATATATATATATATATATATATAGTGCCCCATGCTGAGGCTGATGTTGCATTCTTGATGCTTCTTTACCGCAGTTGGGCTAAACCAACTTACACTAGGTCTTTTTAAGCTGGATAAATTTCATTCCGCTTTATTTGGTTTGTTCTGCCTCCCTGAATAATGTTCTATTAACTGGCCACGTTGCTTACACTAATTGCGCTTATCTTCGGTAATTTTGTTGCGTTTGTAGCATTTTAAGTAACTTGTGGACATTTCTTACTTATCACCGATTTGTTGCTAACCAAATTACTTCATATGGTAATTTGGCGAAGAGTTATGCCACCGTATCTGTATGCATTATTGGATTTATTTTATTTCAGCTTGTCGTTTAAAGTGAATGGCTGTTGTTTGATATCCCTGGTATGGTTGCGCTTGATGTGTATGTTGACAAGGTGCCTACCTGTCTATTCCCCACTACATCGTTCATACTGGCTCCGGGAGACAGTTGGTCGTTGCTGGAGGGGACGGGATGCACGGTTCTTGTGGCCGTGCTAGGCTCAAAGAGCGGTTCCATGCACTCAGTGTGGAGGGGACTACGGTCCAGCCACCGCCTTGTGTGCGGTTGATTCCCCAAATACAGCGTGCTTGTGTTTGCCAGTGAAGGAGTGTGGGCCGGCTCCGTTGATGAAACGTGGTTCCCATCCGCATGCCTCCCGGTCTTATTCCTTCGGATTTACACTGGATATGGGATGTGTGGTTGGAGCTGTGGGTGGTGCAGCGCAAGCCATCCATGGTCCCTCTGTAGGCACAGGCGTCCTGTGGCTTGCCACAGTGACAGGCAAATCCGAAACCGGATGCCGCCAACCATATATATATATATATATATATATATAGTATCATCGGAACCATGGCGGAATGTGAAAACAGGATTAGAGTAAAAGAAGAAAGAAAAACAAAATTTTGTCCATTCTCCAACTCATAGTTTTTGAGCTTTTTGACGTTTTTTTATTGAAGGAGGCACGTGGAATCACCGCAAAAAGCAAAGATGCACGCCCGCCACTGAGTTCAGTTTTGAGTCATGACTTTCATGGTTTCCATCCAGCAGCACTCAGCGTCTGGGACCCCATCCAAGGAGCCGAGAAGAACCAACCGAGGCCAGCTGTTTTTTCAGCGTTTTCATCCTGCTTCTCCTAGTTGTAGGCTGTCCGCAAAGCCGCCTCCTCCAGCTCTGTCCAACGGCCGCGAACAAGACATCACGCGGAAGACGCTGAATGAGCATACGCAATACGTGTCCAAGCCATCGTAGTTAGCGCAGCGAGACAAGCGCCTCGAGAGAGTGGTTGTCTCCACCCAAGACACGCTGTCTTACTCCAACGTTGGTTACGTGGTTCAGCCACCACACACAGGCGATGGACCGCAAGCAACGGTTCTCGAAGACAGACAGTCGGCGCAGATCATTGGTACGAGCAGGCCGTCTCGAAGCACAGTAAGTGAGGTAGTCGTTTTATATTCGGCGCCACAGGCTTCCACCGGTGTCCGGCGCATGGTGTTCGCAAGTAAAGTAGTGGCCTCAACACGGGGAATTCACAGAGATGCTGTGCCTTCAGTCAAACATGCGATACGAAAACGGTGTTTCATTCATGATGGATCGGTTTGTAAGCGCGGCAGATAAGGTAGGTTGGAGTTTCGATCCGAGGAGGTACGAGAATATAAAACTATGCATTTCGACCGTATGGAAGACGTAGATATTGTACTGGCTATGATAGTATGTTAAGGCTGAGAAGTGTCGTTTAAAATTCTGGATGAATAGTTGATGCATGCATCAAAATGTTAATGTTAAAATAAATAAGCGGTTCTTTCCTTAATCCGTAGCAGCGAGAAATAAATTTTAGCGAACTGACAAGAAAGACATAAACTTTCTGGAAAAGTCCGGAAAACTAATAAGAGAATAGTGTGACCAGTGAGGGAAAATAAATGAAGTTACAAAATGGGAGCCTTCTAACCTTTCCTGTCTTAAGAGTATGTGTAGACCGAGGTAAATTGAGAGAAACTGAGAGGTAGAGGAACGAGGTATGCTTTGCTCATCCACCGTCAAGGGACCGGAGTCTGTTTGGATATATATAAAAAACGTTGCAGCACTTGGAAAGCTTGGGAGAGAGGGATCGAGAGCTCCACCAAGCCACTAGTTCGTCCAACCATCGTTGGGATTTCGAAGGGTCCTCGATGGTTAGGGTGTTGTGCAACTCAGGACGACGTCATCGGCATACCATCGACGGAATTATGTCCGTCTATTGTCACTACATTATCCGTTCCTTAGCCACTACCGATAGTACAGTTGTTGTCACCCAGTCCTCGCTCTCTGGTTTGAGACTTCATCTTTCAACACCCGCACTTCAGACATTTGTTTTATTTGGTTTTCTTAGAACACACGCCTTGCGGTGCTCGTACACACTGGTGAACAGTATGCTTTTGGCTTGCGACATCCTGCTAACCAGACAGTGGCGATCGGTCCACGCTCCTTATTCACCTTACTTATAATTCGGGTATTGTTATGTTCCCACGATATCGTCCAGTACACAAAATGTTTGGCTCACAATCAGCAGGCGTTAGTAAGCAGCATACAACTTGTTGACTCCAGTTGTCGCTGTGTTCGTGCTTTATCTTCCTACCCGGTATAATGTAAACTGTCTTGGGTAAATCAATCGTTTATAACGTCAAAGCGATTTGTTCCAACACTTTACAGCAGATACATCAAGTTGTTCCAATGAATTCCAAGTCCGTCACGCTGTGCACGCACCTACCTCCCCATTGGTTGGTTCGGTTCCTAACTACTATTGTTGGCAACTGATCTAGCTGTTTTATAAGCTGGACATTCGTGCGTTGACTTATTTCGGTAGCTGCGCTGCCAATACCCTTTAGCATGAGTCATTGACATTTGATATTGGCTGGGCTTGGGAGCTTGTAGGGAACGTGATCGTTATAAACGGATTCCCCTAGAAAAGTACTTGAATCTCTTCTAAATAATACCTTAGAGTTGGGTTCTTTGTGCGATTGTTGATGCTGTCTATCGATCGGCTTTTGTGTTTCGTGATGAACGTCGTGGCACTAACTACGCCCCGTTTTTGCACGACCCGCACCGTTAGCCAATTCGACATAAGTACCGATGGTTTTTCGCGCCTGTCGACACGAACGAGTATTATCATAAATCAGTGAAGAGATTAAAAATTCTAGTGGTTGAACTGAGATGAGTGAATTATTGTTCCCTTGGTTCCCCTAAAGCATACATCGCTCTAATATGGGCCGCTTCGTGCACTCCTACTGCGGAAGTTGCATGTATCAAGTCTTAAACTAAAGCCCCTAATCTTTTGCCTTGCCAGCGCTCGACAACCCGGAGGACTTTTCACTCTGCTGCATTGTCAGCAAGCACAAAACACTGAGGGTAATGGCGG